AACCCATGAGATATCTAGGGGAGCCCATGAGATATCTATAGGGTTGGAGGTGTCCAGGGAACCCATGGAGCATCTAGGGGGTTGGAGGTGTCTGGGGAACCCATGGGACACCTATGGGGTAGGAGATACCTGGGGAACCCATGGAGCATCTATGGGGTTGGAGGTGTCCGGGGAATCCATGGGACATCTACGGGGTTGGAGGTGTCCAGGGAACCCATGGGACATCTATGGGGCTGGAGGTGTCCGGGGACATCTATGGGGCTGGAGGTGTCTGGAGAACCCATGAGATATGTATGGGAACCCATGAGATATCTATGGGGTTGGAGATGTCCAGGGAACCCGTGGGATGTCTATAGAGTTGGAGATGTCCAGGGAACCCATGGAGCATCTACGGGTTTGGAGGTGTCTGGAGAACCCATGAGGCATCTACGGGGTTGGAGGTGTCCCGGGAACCCATAAAACATCTACGGGGTTGGAGGTGTCCAGGGGTACCCATGGGACACCTATGGGGTTGGAGACACCTGGGGAGCCCATGGAGCACCCCTCAGGTTAGGGGAGCCTGTGGGCTCCATGGGGCACCCATGGGGCTGGAGGTACCCGGGGAACCTTTGGGGTCCGGGCACCTGGGTGACAGGACAGGTCCCCGCTCGGGGACTCAGTTTCCCCCCCCTGTTTCCTCCCCTCTCCCCGCAGTGCGTCGCCCTTTCACAGGTGAGTGCCCCCCCCATGTCCCCCCTGTGTCGAGCTGGGCCCGTTCTCACGCGCCCCACGGGGGGTGAGCATCGCGGGTGCCCCCCAGCCCCACACAGCCTCACCGAGCCCCCCGTCCGCCGCCTCCATCTCCGGGACCCCTCCCCAGCCCTCGTCCTCCAGCTGTCCCCAGCCTCCTCCTCCCCTCCATCCCAGCCTCCATCTGCTTCTCCAGCCTCCGTCCTCCGAGTTCTCCATCCCTCCTTGGAGCTCCTCATCCCTCCTTGGAGCTCCTCATCCCTCCTTGGAGCTCCCCATCCCTCCTTGGACCTCCTCATCCCTCCTTGGA